ATAAATATAATTTATGAGTCCGAAATATTTCTATCATTTGTACCAGTATGCCTGCGTATATATGCACACACACTACGTCATTCATGGTGTGTATATTGTGGTTGTAAAAATAGTTGTGATTTCCGGTCAATTAGAATTCAGTTCACGTAATCTTTGTGATGTTAATGGAATCTGATGGTCTATGGATTGTTGAGTGTTGTATAAATATGTCAAGATCTGTGTGTATGTAGGTATATAAGTTTCAGAGTAGTATAGTAATAGCTTTTAATGTGAACGCGAATTTTATGATGCCTTTTTGTTTTGGGAAGGAAAACGTTTTTGCAGTTTGAGCCGTTTTTGCTAATAGTTTTCTCCGAATAGCAAATAGTTTAGTTAGTATTAAAGCTGTTTTTCGAGTTGATGGTGGTAGTGGTTGATGGCATTTAGCAGCCATTAGTAAATAAGCAGTTAGGATAAAGTTGAGCTGGACAGGCTGTTGTAGCAGTAGTTTTTTTTTTTTTTTTGGTTAGCATAATTTCAGGTTCCACTGGTTCACCAATGAACAATCCAAGATGATGTGATTAATCCATTTTGTTTCCCCAGTTAATGGGTTTAGGGTTTTTTGGTTTTAAATTAATTTTATTTTATTTATTTTTTGTAATAAATTTCAGTGAAAAAATTAAATTTTCTAGAGTGTTTTTGTTGTTCATTTCAAAGAGATTACTTTCAAATGGCAACAGTAGAAGTGGAAAATTAAGTATATGGCCATTTGAAAAACAAATCGGAAAAAAGAGAAAAAGTAGGGGAAAATTGGCAAAAAAGCGCAAGGAATTTCATTGTTATAACATTCAAAAAGGGAATTTGTAATAAAAAGTAATTGTAACAATGTGAATAAAATAAACAAACTCTAAGGTGAGAAAACATCCTAGAAAAGTGCTCTAAACAAGACCAAGGAGTGGAGGAGGGGTGAAAATTACCAAACCAAGGAAACAAGCCTCAACAAATTAAAGGGAATTAAAATAAATTCAAGACTAATCTCAAATAAATATTAATTACGAAACTAAATAAAATAAATCTGGGAAATTAAAAAATATATATGTTTTTAACAATAAAATAATTTGTTTTAACAATTCAAGCCTTTTGCAGTGCTTTGCATTTTGAGTCTTGGGGTTGAATTATTATTTTCAGTTTTCAGAGGGGAGGTTCTCTTTTTTTTTTTTTTGGTTTTTTGATGGTGAAACTCACTACGTTTGCCTGTGAAAAAATGTGGAAATAAACGAAAAAATACACACACATGTGGATTAATCATGGTTTGACTTGTTGCTATTTGATTTAATACACTTAATGTAAACGATGATAAACAAAATACAGAGTTTTCAAAGATATTTGTAAATTTGAGGAATATAAATGGAATAAATATATAGACTACAAGGTTTTGAGGATTATAATGTTGTAAAAAGTGGTATTTAAAAAATTGTTGTATTTTAAAAATGAGTACGAGTGATATTTTTTAGTTTACATTAGGCGGCATCAAGTAGTTGAAGTGATAAAGCAGGGTGTGAAGATGTTAGTGAAGAGAACAAAATAAATGAAGACATTTTTATTATTTTTTTTAATAGTTTTGAAGAGACTATTTACGATACAGATTGTGTGTTTTTTTTATTTATTTTTTAAGAATTATCATATAATTTTTAATGTATATTTTTAAAAGTCTTTCAGTGGTATAGTCGCCAATTTTTAAAGTCTTTAGGGCTATAATCGAATCGTAATCTTAGATTTCTGAAAAGCTTTCGAATAATAACAATCATGGATTTTTAAAAAGATTTTCAGATGATTTCAAAATATTGTGGATTCTTAAAAAATTTTCAAATCCGTAATTGTGCATTTTAAAGAATAAAGTAAATTGCAGGTCTTTGAAAACTTTTGACAGCTTTTATTGAACTTTTGGATTTTATGGTAATATTTTAAGGAATTTTTAGAGATTTATTCGTAGTTTTGTTAACGTATCCTTTTAAAGACCCTTAAAAGCTTTTGAACAGGGATTTTTAAAATCTATCAAAGCATGAAAATTGTTTCTGAATGGATTTTTTAAAGAAACAATTTTAATGCCTTTCCAAGCTTAAATTGAAAAGGTTTTAAATGAAATTATCTAAGCTCTGATACCGATGTATTTTCAGAGACAAATAGAGAACTATTTTTAAAGGGTTTTTCATAGCATTAGTCGTGGATGTTTGAAGAATTTATGAGTAATATTTTTTAAGACGGCTCTGAGCTTTAATCGAGGATTTTTGAAGGTCCCTCAGAGAATCAATTGTAGATTTTTTTAAAGTTCGGATCTTTAGTCTTGCATTTTCTAAAGAATATTTTCGTAGCTCTTTTAGAGGCATTTTTAAAGCTCCAATCAATGACTTGTAATGGAATATTTTTGTCTATCTTTGAGCTTTAATTGCCAATTTTTCAAAGTCTATTTTAAAAGAACCTTCAGAGCTTTAATAAGGTTAGACTTATCAAAGCTTTAATCATGAATGTTTTAAGGAATATTTGTTTTTAAAAGCTTTAATCGTGAAATTTCTATTTCGAAAGAAAAATATTTTGGAAAATTAGTTTCGAAAGATCTCTCAGAGCTTCAAACGTGGATTTTCTAAAAAAAATTAAAGACCTAACAATAAATATATACTATTATATTATTATATATAATATTAAATATATTTCAGAGATGTAGTCGTAAGTTTTCTGAAGAATTTTGGATTTTTTAAATATTTTTAAAAGCCTTATAGATTTATAATTGAGGATTTGATTTTTAAAGGATTTGTTTTTTAGAGGCAGAACCACAATCATTTTTTGAAACGTTTTTCAACAAATGGTTATTTAAAAGCTTTTAAAACCACAATTGCAAAGAAGCTTTTCAGAGCTATAACCGTGAATTTTTTAAAAGCTATTCAGTGCTATAATCAGGTGTTTAAAAAATTGTTTCAGTAGCGTTAAAATGCTACTAAAACGCTTTACAACAAATCAACAAATGACTATTTAAAAGTTTTTAAAAACACAAAATTTTAAAACTATTAACAAAATATTAAAACTTTAATTCTATATTTTCTTAAAGATGTAAAATAGGGTTTATCAAAGGTTTTTCGAAGATTGTCCCTCAGAGCTTTCATGGTGGATTTTTTATAAAATATTTTTTGACATATTTAATCTTTAATTTGTTAAACAATTAGATTTTAAATCTTTAATCTTTATTTTTTTTAAAGAATATTCTCTTCAAAATTTGTACCTGGACATTTAACTAGCATTAGGGTAGTTTATCCTCTTTGGGCTATTAAGGTGGCAATCTTTAATTGCTGATTTTTTAAGAATCTTTTTAAAGAATCTTAAAAAGATAATCATGGAATATTTTCAAAATTATATTACACAACTTTAATAATTTTTATTTTAAAATTGTTCTAAAAATGCCTTCGAATTCAAGAATGGTTTTGAATGTCTTCATTTATTTTCAGAATTATGATATATACAAAGCCAACTACGACTATGTGATTATGAATAAACAAAATTGATTGATTTATTCGAATATATAAAAAATTTATGTCTTTTTCGATATTACATGAAATTAAGTTTTAATTTGTTCTATTATTTTTTTTTATCTATACAATTATGCAAAGACATGACACAGTTACATATAAAATATAGCACACACAGACAATACTATAAACTTGCCAATTAAAGATAATGTAATCACTATAATGTTTAAAGACAAATTTTTGTTACATATTCATTGAAGTGTATTAAAAAATGTGTAGAAGATTTGAAAATAAAATAAAATTTTAGACAATGAAACAGATAGTAGATGACTTATGTTACATCTCAACGCATACGCACACACGCATACACACTCATAAATCAGAAAAGACAGATATAATCAAAATTTGAAAAAAATAGAGGGAACAAATTTAAGGCAAATAAATGGAGGAACATGGTTTTAAAATATAAATTAAAAAAATATGGAAAAATTGCTTCCCTTAGTATCCAATAGGTTAAATTTGTCCTTTCATTAGAACCCAATATTGATTGAGTATGTTTATAATGAAACCGGATTGAGATGATATTAAATACATTCTAGTTCTCTTTTGAATTTGAATATTTTTGGACCATAGTTTTCCAATCGAAAATTGTTGGGCTCCATCAATAACGAAATTCAAAATTTGTATAGGAGGTAGAAGATTCAAGGATTATATTTCGTCGATCTCGACGACATCAAAATCAAAATATTTATTAGACATAAACTATTTAAAGAACTGGAGAACCCATAAAATGCCTAAATAGGAAACCAAACCAAATAAGTGTATCTTTGTTGTAACCACAAACAGTATTTCCAATCAAACCTTGGTTATATCAAGAAAACTAATAAAACAAATTATTTTGCTTTGAAGTGAGCGCTGAAAAGGCAAACACTGGCTGCAGTTGGAGTTTTCCGCAAAAAGTCAGAGCTCACATAAGTCGAACTTGAAAAAGTACACTCTAATTGTACTTCCCAATACATTGATATATTTCCAGAGCTTTAGTAAATAAATATAGAATATTTACAAAATTATGATATATTATTTGAGTAAACTTTGTATTAACCCAAAAAAAAAAAAAAAAAAAAAGAATCACTTCACTGGAAATAAATTATAAAATTTTAAAAAAATATTGAAATTAGTAAAAATCATAAAATATTTTAATGGCAGAAAGATTGGCAAAAGTATAATAAATAAAACAATTAGTTTGAGTATTGAACATGTCGAAATATAGAAAAAAATATACCCAGAGATAAGAAGGCACATAGAGAACAGAAGACAGCAGCCACATAGATGGAGAGGAAACACACAACAGTTGTATATACATAAGAACACACACACACTCGCACATAGAAACATTAGACACAGCCACATCCTCACTCACACAAACATGTAATTTTTGATTGTTTTTTTTTTGTGTTATTGCTTTTGCATTTTTTGTTGTTTTTTTTTTTCTCTTTTACATACCAAAGAATTTGTTCAAAAATACAAATGCATCCTTTTTAGATTTATTATCTGTTGGAGGGAGGTAAAAAAAAGATGGGAATTTGGTTTGGTTTTTGATTGATTTTGTTGGTAAGGATTCCAAATAAAAAATAAAAATTAAAAAAAATAATAATAATTGGTTAATTGTTTTTAGTTATAGCTAATAAGGCTTATTCTAGCATGATTTGTTATTTGGCGAGGGGCTTGATGAAAGTGTAAAATTAAAATGAAAAAATATGTATATCTAAAGGTGGAACTTCTTGAACGACTTTCTTTTACCTATTCATTAGAAATGTGGGCTTTTCTATGCATTGTTTATATTTTTTCTGCCAAAAACTGAACTAAAAAAACATATTTTACACACTATGGCGGCCAACTGACGTTTGAATGGGAGTAAAAAATATAAAGATTGATGCCAAGTTATGGGAAAGTACTACAATGAGAGGCCACCATCAAATGCCAATGATATCGAGATTTATCCTGACTTTACATAAAAAGGACAATAGAGTTCATGTATTAATTGACATAATATCACAACTTATCAAAATGAAAATGGTGTTGCATAAAAGCTAATATGGAGACTATTGACATTGATTTTTAATATCCATGATTTTTGTTTTAATTAGGCCTGTTCCAAAGTTTGCATGAAAGTTTATATCGAAAAGTAACCAAAATAGAGAAAGCCCTTCCTTTCACCATACTTTTGGAAAAAATATGCATTCTCCGTATCCAAGCATTTTAGGTATACATATAGTGTCTTCTGCAATATTGCAAATAAAAACACGAGGAATATTTCGATTCTTGTTTAAAATATGATTAAAACGGGATCGTAACAAGTAAAAATAATCTATAAAATGTTTTGGCATAAAATTATACTATTGGTCCTAGAAGATGTCAATAGTCAATGTCAGGAATTCATATACAGGGTGAGATGAAAAAACTGCAACCAACTTCAGACTGCTGTCATTTACAAGACACTCGTCCGACAGCTGTTAAAATTATTCCACTGACAGCACATTATATTGTCTACAAGCGTGCAAAAGCATTTTGGTGAGAATTTTCCAGAAAAAAAGTTATTCGTGATGGAATTCAAGCGTGATAGTGTGATTTCTTTATATTTGGCTGGAAAACCACAAGTGGCTATCGTTAGAGCACTCCAGCATTTAAATGTGAGTAAATTTCTGTTGTTTCGTACCATCGCTCATTACCGGGATACTGGTAGCGTAGCCCCACGTCAAGGAAATGGACGGAAGAAGACAGCAACATCAGCAGAAATGGTTCGAAAAGTAAAGAAGCGACTTGATCGAAACCCGCGTCGCAGTGGCCGAAAAATGGCTCGTGAGCTGAACATATCGCAATATTCCATTCGGCAAATATTGAAAAATGAGCTCGGAGTAAAGCCATTGAAATTTCAAAAAGTGAAAGAACTTACACTGCAACGGAAAGAAAATAGACTCAAAAGAGCTAAAGAGTTGCTTGGCCGAAAGTGGTGAACTGCCGAATTTGGTTTTCTCCGATGAGAAAACATTCGTTGTCTAGCAGTTTGTAAACAAACAAAATGATCAGCTGAAAATGTGCACCATCGGTTGGCCACCATAACTCAATCGCCGGCCATGGCGAAGGTGTGGGCCGCCATGACAGCCGATGGTCGCTCTCCGCTTGTATTAATCGACCGTGGCATCAGAATAAATGCCGAAAATTTTCGCGAAAATATTCGCAAATATTTTGGCCGCAGACCTTAGACATTCCAACAGGACTCAGCACCATAGCACTCAGCACGCGCCACCCAAGAATGATTACAAAATGAGATTTCTCGCTTCATTTCTAGCGAACAATGGCCATCAAAATCTCCCGATACCAATCCGTTGGACTATTGAGTCTGGAGTATTTTGGGAAGCAAGGTTGGCACTAAAAAATACCAAAGTGTCGATCACCTCAAGCAAGCGCTTCGCCGGGAATGGGCCAAAATACTGCAGAGTAACATTCGGGCAGCGTGTAACGCTTTAATTGGCCGTTTGAAGGCCATAATTCGTGAAAATTTTATGCTATTTCTGACTTTTTTGCTTTTCTTCAATAAATTTAAAAAAAAATGTAAAAATTATGGCTTTGTTGCAGTTTTTTTTTATATCACCCTGTATATTAAAACCACATTTTAGGGTTAAAGCCGCACTGTTTGTGAGTTCAAAGAAAACTCACCAATAAATCATCGTTTTAGAAGGATGACGTCAAAGACAAATATATTCTTACCAAAGAAAGGAAACCCCTATTTTCACTGTATATCAAAAAAAAAAAAAAAAAAAAAAAAATATGTACCTCAATTTTGCCAAAAAAAAAAACGAAAAATTACCCGATTTTTGATCAATTTTTCCTCAGACTTTTTTGGAGCTGACGTCTGAAAGTAATATGAAATTTCCTTTTATCCGAAATGTGTCAAAAGAGGAAATATTTTACACAAAATTTCACTGTAAATCTTAGAATAAACCATATATCTAGGTGCAATATTTTTAATGAAAATTACATTCAAAAAGTATGTACTAAAAGTGTAAATTATGTCTTTGCTTCTCCTTGTAAGGATAACTCCGATTTCAAGTATAAACTGAATGGCAAAATTAAATGGAAAGCATAGTCAAAACGTAAAAAAAAACTATATAACCCATTTTCTGTTCCAATGATAGTGGATATAATTTAAGTATCTCTACCAAATATGCAATTTACATCCTAAATATTGAGAAATATATCTCAAACTATAGGGTCAAAATGATATGGGGGCCTTAACAACATTTGGCTGAAGAACCTAGAACTCTTTGGGGCGCGTACTAACGAGTCTATTTTGCATGTTTCACAACCTAGATTTACCTATTGCACGTTGTAATTTTAAGGAATTTGCAGCATTTGCATTTTTATGGTATATTTTAAGTATACAAATTTATTTTGTTCAAAGACTCGCAATGAAATTTGATTTAGAGAATTCATACTTTGACACTATCCCCAAAAAATGAAAAATAAAGGGAGATTTTGACTCTGATTGGATATGTAATTTAATTAATAACTTTAATTTTTAGTACATAAATTTTGAATGTAATTCTCATAAAAACCATTATACCTAGATATATGATTTATTCTGAAATAATGAAATTTTGTGCAAAATATTTCTTCCTTGGCATCATTTCTTCGACAAATATTGATCAAACAAAGTAGGGAATATTTTCGGTTTTTTGTTTAGAAAACTTTGAATTTCATGATAAATAATATTGTAGAATATTTTGACTTCCTACGGAAAAAAGGCGAGATTTAAAATTTCTATCAATAATATTCCTCGTATTTTTATTTGCAATATTGCCGATGCTCTATACTACTACAATGCACAGATTCCGAAGAACTTAATTCAAAAATTTCCAAAAGTGTGGAAGACGAGTAGATGAAGTTAGTTTAAATAGGGAGATGGTGAAGGATGTCATTGTTGAGGAACTGATTACAATATTTTTTCCGCGAAAGAGTTGAAGGAAAGGCGTCTTCATGGACGAACTGCAGACGGGAATGTGAATCGACGTTCTAATGTAGGAGTCGATTTTCCTCTATGAAAGAGGAACCTCCTGGTCTTCTATAATAAAACGATTTTCTGCTCTTGAATGAGTAATAGATCAGAAGACGAAAAAAGAATAGTGTTTTTTTTTAGAACTAAAAATAGGTAGTATTCTTGGGTTATGTAATGGGGGCAATAGTTAGAGACAAGGTTATGGGGGGTTGTATCTTTATCTGCTGTTATTCGGTCTTCTATAAGTATATAACCTCCTGGTCTACTACGAGTTGAAAATATTCTGACCTTTGTGAGTAGAATATAGTTTATTTTTCTGCATATAGATGACCAGAAGACGAACTAAAGAACAGCGTTTTTATAAAAGAGCTAAGGAAGTTGAAACTGAATTTGCAATGTAACGGCGTTTGCAGACCGGTTGGTAAGGAAGCTCTGTATTTTTCCATATGAAGTCGCATTACATATTGAAATTATCATGATTTCGTAAAAATTCAGCTTCTTATAACTGTCAAAAGTATGGTCCATTGGAAGTTCCACCTGTTTTAGTTTTTTTAAATTTAAATATGCCATAAACTTATTAATCTTAATGATAAGTTATACAATTTCAAGGTAAAATAAAAAAAAAATTAAGTATGATTTTTTTCTGAGAGTTTTCGTAAACAATAAAATCTATTACAAGCATATTGTGTTATTGGGTAATGGTGATGGGTGGTGGGGGTTATGGTGCTTAATAATATAACTATAACAATAACAATTTGATTTGATCTTTGCTAAATGTGAAACAAAGATCTGAACACATTAAACTAAAACTAATAAATATTTATGTAGCTATTTTTCATTAACACTCATTATCTATGTATGGATGGATGTATGTATGTAGTAGGTGGGCAACAGGGAATGCACTTGGGTGTACAGTACAGGAAGGCCTTAAAGGAGGGCTGGTGGTGGGCGGTAGCATCCGCATAACATATGTTCTCTTAAAAGCCAAAAACATGCTTCTTCTTTTTTTTCTTTCTGTTGCTTTCAATATTGAATTCTTATCTACAGAGATTTATTGCATTCCTTAAGATGACATTTTTGCTAAAACAGGTCTTTTCGATTTGTACACAAAACAAAGGGGGTAGGTTGTGGCGAGGAGTATTACATTAATGCTTAGCTAGCAATATGCTTTTAGCTATATTTACTTATGTTCATATGTATGTAGATGGATATGTATATAGTATCAGGGGGGAGGGGGTATTAAATTATAATTGAATGCATGATGGCAGCTAGTGAGCAAAATATCTGAACTGACGATGATGATGATATCGCTTTGGTATTTGAAATAATGAACTTCTTCGTATGGCTAGCATGAATTTCGTTTGATAAATGTTTTGTTGTTGTTGTTGGTGTGAGAATTGGGGGAGGGGGATAAATGTTTGTGTGCATTAGAAACAGGTGGATTAGAAACAGGGATTTCAAGGTGGCTGGATGAGTGGACACAAAAGCTAAAAGG